TGGATGTTTCAGGTATGTTTGATCTTAGATGGCTACATGAATTCTGCCTCAAAGAAGTGAATCCATTCCACAGACCAGTGTTTGGTATATTATTTAAAATCTAAGAAAAAAAACCAAACGAAAAAAAAACAACCAAAACCACATTAAATGACACGAGTTTTTTGGAGAGGAGGTTGAGTTGTGATGACTGGTGAGAAACCTGTAGAATATTTAATGTATTGCCTTTTTTCTTTAAACTCCACTCTGCATTGTCTGACCACCTCAAAATGAAGGCAGTTAAGTCATGAAAATTACAGTCAGCATTGTTTTAAAGCATAAAGAAAAGTTCTGAAAAGAAGCTAAACTGTAATAAAAACATTTTAGGTCACAGTTTGCACCTTATACTAACAATTCAGCTGGCTCCTGAGCTTTCTGTCACTGAAAATCTGGGGAATAAAAATCCTTAATACCAATGTAGCATTAAGAAGCACGCATTATTGATTGTGGCACAAGATGCATGGGGGATACTTTCACCTAGCGTGCATGTCAGTTCTTACAAATTTCTTACAAGTTTTTCCTTCATGAGGAATGGTTCCCAGTTCAATGAGCTGAATAGGCAAAGAATGTTCTTTTCCCTTCGTCTTGTTCCTTTTTGACATATGTATGGCTTTGTTTAGTTAAGGTCCAGCTTGGCAGTTTGCTTCAGCTAACAATCAGTAAAACAAGTCCTCTCTTGTCAAAACCATTCTATGATGCTGAAAATAATGCAGTGCAAAAGACCTCTGAGGCTCCTTCTCCAGTTCCTGTTCCCAGGGACACCCAGAAGTATGCTGATTCTTTTAACTTGATTTCTTGTGGAAACATGTATGTATGCAATTTGTATGTGTGTTGGAGGACTTTAGTGTGTCCTGAACCCCTTCCTTTGCACATAATCTTGTAAATAGTCCTACAAACAAATTCTACTGGAGGGAGAAGGGGAAAGCTATTGTCAGTTTTGGGACCTGAATTAGTCAAATATATTTGACCCTAGTCCAGAATACCACCAAGTTTCATGGAAAAATAGACAAGGTGAGATGATAATCTGATTGGGAAAACTGGTGCTGATGTATGTCTCGTATTAGGTGGCAGAGAATCCAGACAGGAGGGGCACTTTACAAATGCATCATCTGTGAGAGAAGTTTGTTAAGTGACTAAAAAGGAGTGAGCTTGTCTAGATCATCACAAGCAAGTAAGGGAGTTAGCTCTACTAATGTATTTTCAGCTTGAAGCTACTCCCCTGTAGCTCCAAGAATACCATGAATAGTTTTGGGGCACATGGGATGGGGATTGGAAGAGGACAAGTACTTAATAATTTTTCATTAATGGATATGTGTTAATGGATTTCTTCCTACTGTAAAGCATTTTTGGGTTTAGAAGTTTTTGCCATTCCAGCATCACTGTTTAACAAAGATTTTCAGTTTCACACTTGTGGATGGGAACCATGCTTGAGAGTTGATTACCTCTCATGACTGAGAGACATAACAAAGTATGCTTTTTTCCAAAGTGTATTCCGTGGAGTATATATATTTATGTTCATTGTGACTGTTGGAAAAATGCAGGAAAATGCAGGTGTGCAGTTGTTCTATGACCTTCATACTTGACCGCACCGGGGCGCCTGGCCAACACTCTTAGCCTCGACAACAGTGAGATCATGAGAAACTGCACGGCCGCACAAATAAACAATTACTGGCATAAAGCCGGTTGGCTTTCTGAGGGTATAAAAGCAGGACCCTCTTGTAGCCGAATCCAAAGCCTTACCTATGGGTGTATGCACCACACAGGAATTTTCCCAATTACCTGAGACTCCTGGCATCAGCAGCTTCCCAGCTTGAAGTCTGAGCCTGGATGATGTTTCAGTGGTAGCCGGTAATATATTTCTTCTTAATCTGTTCTCTCTATGCAGCAATGATTTGATGCATTCCTAATTTTCTCCATACTTTACTTATATGGATATATATATCTCTAATTTGCTTTATTGTATTTATTCACTATATATAGAGATACATACCTGATTCACATTAGTGTGCTTATTTGCTTTAGTGTGCATATTCACTTCAGTGTGCTTGTTTAATTAACTGTGCATATTATACAGCTCAATGTAGTTATTTTATGGCTTACCCTGCTTGTTAGCAGAACAACACTGGAGCTGAAATCTGCTAGTGTATGATTGTACCCCAAGTGGTTTGGTGAAAGCATATTGCCATATAGATGTCTAAGTCCTTTTAGTGCATTGAGTCACTGACTAGTCAAGCTACTTTCACAGCTAGCACAAGGAAAAGTATGACCATCAAATCTTACCATTAAAGGTGACTTATGCAGTGAAAGAAGTGGCTGTGATTTTCATAGTTGTATTAAAAGATGCTGCTTTGAAGTCATAATAGAGGAGTGACAAGGGCTACAAAGGAACTTAACTTGATGACTCTTTTAAATGGAATGCAGTCTTGTGTTGTAAACTTCCAGTTACATCTCCATTTTTTTTATCTGCTGCTCAGTTAACATCCTTAATATGAATTTAATATAAGATTCTGGGGGTTTTGTGCCTTTGTGGAAGAAGAACTGTTTAAGGATTAGAAAATGGCTATCTCTAATAAATAGGTTGTATGAAATGTAGGGAAGTGTAAGAAACAATTTTCTGGGTTAGTTCCAAAATTTCTGCATTCCATCCCAGTGCCAAAAAAAAAAAAAAAAGTTTTTCCTGAGAATCCATGGAGTGTTTCAGGCTCTTAAGGATGAAAAATTTGCACATGTGCACCAAGCAGTCTATTTTATTCATATGTTAATGGTCTTAAACAGGCATAATTTCTTCTTGTATTCTTTAACTTCTGGTATTCTTTCTGTGCCCACTGGAAAATTTTAATTGCCATTTTGGTTTATTTTTTGTTTGGTTTTGCCTCCTCATATTTAAAGTGATAGATTATGTCAGTTGAAGAGATAGCAATACATTTTCTTTCAAATGATGTTTCTCTTTCTGAATGTACTCACCATTGTAGAAGTGCCAGCAGTACACCTGGGGAGAAGTCTGTCTTCAAAGCTAGGAAAACAAAATACGTATTTTAACTGTCATCCAGGACAAGGCAGGAGTTGTAGTGAGAAGCTATATGGCTCATATTTGGAATGTGGTTTCTAAATAGTATGTTTTATCAATGCTTTTGAAAAATGATTTATCTAAGAAAATTAATTAAAGATGCTGAGAAATGCATTCTTTAAACAAATACTGTCTTTTTTTATAACGGACAGAAGGCAGAACTAATTTTTGGTTTGATGCATTAATGCATGAGGCCTGTAGGTACCTAGAGACAGCATTTGTCATGGATACTGGCTTTCATTGAAGTTGGTGAGAATTATAAAATTTGCTTGAAATTGAGCTGAAAGGCCATTCAAGTGTCAGTATCTGTTCCTGTGGGCTGGGCATAAGCGATTAAGGTTGTATTAAAACAGATAGTTGCGTATCTGCAAAATGAATGCCTTATGTTGTCAGTAACAGGTGAATTTCTGATATATAAAGAAAATGCAGTTAAAAATTCCAGAACAAACAAAGAGGAGCCGAGTACGAAGCTCGCATTTGCTGTCACCTCAGTTACCAAAACTTTGCTGCGTGGTGGGCAGGGCAGTAGGCTTCTAGCTAGGCAGAGGAATTAAAAAGACACTGTTTAAGAAGCATACAATTTAATAGTTTTTAGGGTGAGAAACTGAACTGTAAAATGCAGATTTTTTTTTTTGTTTAAAGGTTGCAGCGCATATTGACTAGGTGTGATTCTTGTAAGTCTGCATTTAGGGCAAGGAGATGTTATGGAATTCAAGACTGTAGGCTGGGGAGCTGAACATGTCATGCTAGTTTTTGCAGTGAATAAGACTCATGGCCAAAACGTTGACTCTTCAAGAGCATTGGGGAAAAGTACTCTGTAAATTCTACTGGACTTCAATGTTTCCCTTTTTTTGTCATCAGGTAGGATGTGTGGCATCTAAGAAGCTAAAGAGGAGATCTATAGCCCAGTCTTTGACTGAATACCTAGAGTGTTTTTGAGACTAAATGTTCTCCTCCACTACACCCTCCACAGCAGCGTTACTTTATTGTGAGCCTGCCCTTTGTCAGATACATGGAGAGACCCAATGTTAATAACAGCTGCCTGCTATTTTAATAAATAAATAAGTAAATAGTTGTAGCTTAGCTTGGAAGTGGGTCAGTGACTAAGCTGTGACCTGTATTATCATTGTTAAACTTCAGTAGAACTGGGTAAGTCATTCTTGCTATGCATATTATTAAGCATGTGATAAGGTACCCTGTACCATTCTGGTTGCTGCAGAGAAGGTGAAAATACATAAAGTCATAATTGCTTTCAAAATAAATTGGAACCATGCAATAGGAGACAGTTGTCACAGCAGAGATCTTGAAAAGATGTTTAACACAACCCCAGGTAAGCACAGGTATTTCTCAGACAATTAGAAGCTGAAATAATTCTATTTTAGATGTCTCTAGGACTGAAATAAACCACCATAGATAGGAAAAAAAATTACCTTCTATGGGTTTTTTTTTCAGGTTTTGTACTCTGTAATTACTGAACTTGGGATCTCACTGTCTGTTTTCCTATCCTTGGCAGTATTACAGGGGTGTATTTTCACATGAATGAAGTGTTCCTGAATAAAGAACAAGGAACAAACAGGCTTTTCTTCCCTGTTTGGCATGAGTGTTTTCTTCAGCTAACTTCTTACTTAAAGAGGGTTTGCATGTTACATTCATCTTTGGCTTTTGCTGAAAATGCAGAATCAGATTTTAGAAAGCTTTGGGAGTAGTAGAATGTCTTATTCTACCAATAGTCTTGAGGGTGTGTGGAGAATAACAGTTTGGGGGGGTTTGGTGGTGGGTTTATTTTTTTATCCAGGTGTAAGTTTAAGCAGTCATCTTCCTACCGGTGATTAAAATTATATTTATTTTCCTAGAAAAACTGTTTTAACAAAAGTTCTTGATGCACGTGTTCATGCACTGACAGAGTTACAAGTATAGATTGATATGAATTAATACAGAATGTGTGAGTATAGGTAAGCTAAATAAACTACACTCAGTTTTAAAAGCTACCAGAACTGAGTTGTTGCCTTTAAGTAGGAATTTGATATGTAGAATAATGCTAATGCACATCCAAGTAAAGGAATTAACTGATTAAGATACATTAATTGCATGAAAGCTACAAAGAAGACTAGCTGGCTGCAGTAGAAATATACTGTTATGTAACATTAGAAGGGGCTTTTGAAAGGAAAAGTGTTCTCAGAAAATCAAAAATCCAGGTTTCTATTTGTTGGGGGTTAGGGAGTGTTGCTTGGGTTTTGGGTTTTTGTCTCGCGTGCAATTAATAGTCTGCTTCTCTGAAGAGGAGGAAAATACTGTTCTGACGCCTTTTCTGACTAGGTTTCGTAGTGGTGTTACATATACCTTTCAGATTACAGGAGAATTAAATTCAGTGAATGAGGCCTAGGAATATTTCTTTCTAATCAATTTTTAGTTATATATAAGATGCTATTTGTAGTGATTAAAGGCAAATCAGATTTTTTCCTTCCAGTGTGGTTGAGAAATTAATTTTAAGAATAGCTCTACTGATGTGGCTTAAAACAGATGAAGAAGATAGGAGGGAGAGCTAATTCCAAATAGGTATCAAATAATATCTGATTACATTATATTTTCTCATAGTTTTAGTCAAACCATGTTAACTATAAAATAGCTTACCTTGACAAGACTACTTGCAGACATTATGCTGATAGTAACTACCATTGTGGAAAACTTCCAAAATGAGTTTATCTGTTATGTATGACTATTCAGAGTGCAGTCTTCCAAACCATTACTCTTACTGTTTATCTTTTGGGGTTTTGTGGAATTAAAATATGGGCTATCCCAGGTGAGTGGAGATATAAGGATTAGTACTTTATTATTAAAGTCCTCATGGAAGAGAGCATGTAGTTACACAACACTCCACAGCATGTATGTCTGCTGCTCTACATAAATGTTTTATTGCATGGTTTCTTGTGCTGCAGTAGTGAAATATCAATGGCAGAGGGAAATTAGACTGAACTGATTCTCTCCTGTGTAATACTGCTAGTTTCTAAGTACATTAAATGACCCATTAGTAACCAAGTTATTTGAGATGATTCTTGAAAAGCGTCACTTGTAGCTGGATTTTTGCTTGAGCTGAAAAATATTAGAAAAAGGAAATCTAAAGCTGCTCTGCAAGATGTAAGTTTATGATGGCATAATTTTAATAGATTTTTCTTCCAATAGGTCTGGAAAACATTACCACCACCAGTGAATGGGTTGATCTTAAATCTCAGCTCCAGATGACTTGTCCTACTGTTTGTAAGGGTATGTGTAGTTCCATTGTGAAAGTGTTGGCAAGATCTAGAATGATTTTAAAATGTCCTTGTAGTCTATTGTTTTAAACATTTATAGTGACTGACACAAGTGGTCTGTCACTTAGTGGTTTATTCTTGATCTAGCATTGCTTTAGAGCCATGATAAGATGCAATGTCAAATATCTCATTGCTCCTTTAAGGAGATACAGTGTGTCAATACAGCCAAAGGCCTTGGACCTCTGAGACTTGCCACTGAAAATCTGGCTCACAAGCTTCATAGTTTTGCTCATCATTGTACTTTTCAAGATCATCTCATGCAGTCTGCTGAGGAGCAAGATTTCACTGTGAGTTCTTTTTGTAGACCTACATACCGGTGTGGGGAAAAAGAAGTAGAGGGCTGTGTAGAATTAGTCATATGCTGGACATGTCCTTTTAGTCTGCCTGAAAAATCCTTTTAGAAATATCCTAGATATGTCACTGATCTTGGAGACTTCCTGTCCCCTAAAAGGTTTGAATTTAGCAAAAACCCAATAATGAATTGTATGATTCATCAATTGTATGATGAATTGTATGACAAACAGTTACTTTTCTAAAGCAAGTACTTTGTTTATAACTTAAGCTTCTGTTGTTAGATGTCATCTGTTACTGAAAATGGAGATGTTACTGCTGGAAAGCCAAATGAGGAGAAAACATACAAAAAGGTAAACAAGACTTATGATCTTCTCATTGCATGTTTTTCTCTTCATATTGGTAATTAAAAGCTGCCATAAGTGAAATATATTTCAGAACTGGCTAAATACAAGAACAAACAAAAAATGTTCCATAGAGCTTTTCTAAGTACAAAATTCCTTCTGTGAAATCATACGGCATTTCTACTCACTGCAAGGCTGACTACTTAAAAGCTTGTTCAGTACAGCTTTAAAGTATACAGTCATGCTAGACTGATGGAAATTCTTTGCTCTTAGCAACAGATACACCTCTGGGCGTAAATACTGTTGTCAGAAATTTAGTACGGTAAGTTCCCAAATGCTTCGAATGTTTATGCAACGTATGTGGGCTACAGACCTACCCTACCACCTCCTCCATGCGTTGCAAAATAGTACACTTTTTGTTTGCTTTGCTTTTTAAAAAAGAAATGTTGATTAAGAGAAGACATATTTAATATAGTAGCATGCATCAAGGGTAGCAGCATAGGGCTATTTAGGTGTTGTAAGAGTAGCTGATACCTGCTTTTCTGTCACTTGCTTTCTGAGACCAGCATTATTTGGGTCCACCTAACACTGCTGTTAACTAAGGGGAGCTACAAATGCACATATTCCTATACATATTTACACAACCAAATTGTTAGTTGCTGGATTTGATCATCGTACTGACACAAAAAAGTGATTTATTTTTTTTTAACTTAATTTCTGTAATCTAGCAGACATCCTCATGATCCTACAGTACGTATCATGGATTAGGGTTTTTAATTTCTGAGTGTTGCCTACAGCAGTGCTGGTAAGTCAAGGAGAATAATAAGCTACTATTTTTTTTTCCCCACCTCCTTTGTTAGCAACTACATTTTCAGTATCTGGGTGGCCTTCATGTTTCAGATAATTTTCTTAAAAATGAAAGGAAGTAATGCTTGAGAAAAAAGATATGTTTGTTTTTTTTGGTTTTTGGGTTGGGTTTTTGGTGTTTTTTGTGGGGGCTTTGTTGTTTGTTTTTTTTGTTTGTTTTTTGTTTTTTGTTTTTTTGTTTTGTTGTTTTAGTTTTTTTTTTAAGTCTAAATTGTTCTTGACATTTAGTACCAGAAAGTAAGAAAAGTTCAGTGCATGATGTGGACACTTTTGCAGTTTTATATTGCTAGACAATTCATGGAGGTCCCAGCACAGGTGAATTCCATTCCTGCAGTTGTCTTACATGTTCTCCTCTGTTCCTGTTCAACTCTAAATTCATAATATTCCAGAGGAAGATTTCTCACCATGACACAAGCTACTGTTGCGTATTTATTGAAAATACTTCTCTGACAAAACCTAGGATTCACAACCACATCACACTGAGAGATCACAGTGACAATCATTTCCAAATTCTGCCTTTTTCCCTGAATCACTAGTTGTCTGTACTTGTATCTTAATGCCAGTTTAATTCCCTTTTTTATACCCTCAGTTGTTCCATGTTCAAGTTCCTGTGTTCCATATGCCCCATAGTTTAGTGTTATCAGCAAGTATTACCATTATGCTCCTGCTTTTTATGATAATGTTAATTAAAAAAAAATAAATAATCTTGACCCCACAATTTATCCATACAGGGGTTACTGGTTGCATGGCTTTGCCTGACCTTTCACTTTTAACAATGTACCTCTCTTCTTAAGCTAAACTCCTTACAAACCTTTCACTTTCTGTTAATTCTCACCTTCAGATGCTCCATGTAGCACTGTTTCATACTTTTTACAGAAGTCCAGAGGAATCATCCATGTATGTCTAGAAAGTTTGTTACAGGGTAAGCCTGGCAGAACCTGTATTTGACAGAGGCATTTTATGTCATTTCCCATTTAATTCCCTATTTTTAGTTAACTTTCTCAAGGAGATACTGCTCTGTTTTTAAGTCTGGTTTACAGTTACGTCTCTCCTGTCCTTTATGACCCACATCACATTTCTTCACTCTTTTATACAGGTATTGCATTTATAGTTCTCCAGTCATGTGCATTTGCACTTGGTTTGTTTTGCTGGAGAATACTTGCAGTTTTTTCTCGTGACTTCGTCTGCCGCTTCCTCCAGAAATCTGGGTTGAGGAAGAGCTTGTTTCCTCAGCTGGTGCTTTTTCAGCTACTCAGGCAGTTCCTTTTCCCATTTACCACTGCCTTTGATTGCAGTGGAAACACTTAGGCAAGATACATAGTTCTGAAGTAAGACCATGCTTGCTAACTCCTTCTCATTGTTCAGGGGCTTCACTTCCTCCTTTAAAATAAGACCACAAAAACAAACCAAAAAACCACCAAAACCAACATTATAAAAGTGAGGAAGTTGTCCTGTTCGCCTTAGAAAAGCAAAGGACAGTAGGTTGGCTTGAACTGAGGCAATTCTGGTTTTTACTCTGCTCTGACCTCTAATGTATAGCAGAGTAACTGCTGTTGAGGTGGGACTGAGTAAGCTTATAAAGGACTGTGTGACTTGGGACCTGTGGTACTGGTGTGTATCTTTGATCTGGAATATTCTTTTCAGTGATGTGCTGTCCTGAAAAGATCTGGTACCCAAAGAAGTTGTGTCAGAGCAATAGTATAGCTGGAAGCAGAAGGGATAACTAGCACATAGTTCAGAAATACAGACAATAGAAGAGTTTTGCAATGTCAGGTTTTATGTGGGTAATTTAAGGGGTTTCTGCAATAATTCTTGGAGATAATCATCCTGAAATGTGACAGTTTCAGTCTCAACCCCACCCCACGTAAAAGGTCACCGTTGCAAAGCAGATTGATTAGTGAAGGAAGAGTTAATGTTATCCTGCTGTCAGCCTCTATTGTAGGACCCTCTGTTTCAATATGAGGACTCCATGACAGTAACTCTGTCTTGAGCTGTGTGAGGTTTGGTCTTAACTTCAAAGTCTTCCTTGAGATCTTCATCTTCTCACAGTGCCTCTGTCCCCTCACATCAGTTGCAGAGGCACTTGCTGATTCAGGATTTGCAGTCATGTGGCAAAAAGCGTATGATGCTCAGGCACATGCTAGAGTATCTATAATGCCTAAAATAAAATCAAATCTCTAGGGATAAGAGGAGCACTGATACTGCCCTGCTGAATGGTTACATTTTCCTTGTGTGGGGTGGGAGGTGAGAGAGAACAATCCTCAATCTGATCTAAAAAGCAAAACAGCCTTTTCTTTCAACATTTTTCCATTTAGCTTAAGTGTACCATGTCCATCTTTAACAATAGCATGCAGAAATTATATTTGTGCAGCTTTAGTTGTGTATATATATATATATATCTATATCTATAAATACATACCAGCAGAAAAAGTGATGCATGGAAAACAGCTGCTTTGTTATGTAAAATCCAGTGACCTGTAAGAGAAACCCTGCAGAAAATTAGAGAAAATAACTGCGAATACTTGATTTTCTGTTTCCCTCAGTGTAAATTTACTAGTGCAAATGAAACTGGTTACCTTAGCCAATACCATCTCTCCCATTCATAAAGAGATGAATGATGGCTTACTAAAACCCATTTCCACCAGAAAACAAATTGTTTCTAATGGCTGTTTGAAGAAAAACAAATTGTTGCTGGGGCACGTAGAAAACCTTCACATTCTTTTCCTTGTGGTTCACTCCCCTTTACTTCTGAAGACTCCAGAGTAGATGATGTAGTTTATGCTTTTAGTAGCAGCTGGACTGTACTGACTAATGTGGAAAGGACATACCACTGCAGTTGCATCTAGTGATGTGGGACTCAGTTGCTGCAGCAGATGGAGAATGTGCGGGAACTAAAGACTCCTAAATCTGCTCCCTCTAATGTTGTTCCCTCTTCATTCTGTAGTTCTGCCTTTTGCACACTTTTCATACTGTCAGAGTGTGTGCATTGTTGAGAGGATGTTCTTCTCTAGTGCACCTCAACTCTGAGGACTAGTTAGCTGTAATAAATTAGTTTGTAGCTCAGTGCATAGAAAAAGCATCTGAATCATTCACTGATGAATATGGGCAATCCTCAAAGCATGCTTGTCCTTTGTGCATGAGTGTGTTTTGGCCTGCTGTAACTTTAGCACAGTTTGGCTGTGGGAGAGTTCCAAAAGGGATTACTTGCTTGTTCATCCTTGGTGAAAAAGGAATCTTGTTACTAACAGAAAATTTTATTTCTGACCTCTGGTATCTTTGCTATGCAATAGCAATATGCTCCTGAATGAATTAAGTCTTCATTTCTTCAATTTCATGTATTCAAACAATACTCAAGTTTTGGCCCATTTCCCTGGCAGAACTAAATTCGACTTGCCAGCTGCATGAATATGAACAACTTGGAGCTCTAAGTAAATGTCTTTACTAAATCCTTGTGTGAGGTTTTGCATGAGCATTGCTGCAACATCCTTTCAGACTCTGAAATGCATAACTAGACCAAGATAGTGGCACAGTTTCTAGTATGGATCAGGCTTCTTCATTCAGCTGGGTTTTTTGGGGGTTTTGTTGGTGTGTTTTTTTTTTTGTGTGTGTGTTCTAACTTTTGTGTTTTCTGACAATGCAATCTGACATTAATGCTCTTAGGGCTTTTAATTATCTAATATGACTTAGTCAAAGTCCTTGAGAGATGATGGAATGTAATTTTCTGGTTTTGGGTTTGGTTTGGTTTTGTTTGTTTGTTTTCTTTTATTCTGAAAACCACAACCTTCCCTTGCATATTCTCTCTTTAAAGCAGAGTTATTTAAGGTGGGTCTCTGGGCTGTTCAGCTGCAGTCATTTGCTATAAGCATTATAATCTCTGTAACTCCTCCTGGGTTTTCTCTGTATCTGTAAACTTCAAGAAGTTGCTAAGTTTACAGTATGAATATCACCTAAAAAGTTTCAGTCACTCTAATCAGAGAACTTGGTTAATGAAAGAGAAATTTCACAGATACATATTCCATGTAGCTTTTAGAATGGAGGATTCTAGTAACTTTGAGATCAAAGAAATCTTAAATTATGCAAACTGTGGCCAGCTGTTTGAGGGTGGAGGTTTTCAGAGGTGTTCTGAGGTGTTTTTTCAGAAA